ACACGCAGTTTTTGACGATCGAACCTCATTTCGTGCGAAAGGGTTTGCGGGACAAGTGAAATCGCAATTTTACTTCAGTTTTTGTCGATCGAACCTGATCGAACCTCGTTTCGTGCGAAAGGGTGCGCGGGACGACTTGCAAATCACAATTTTACCCCAGTTTTTGACGATCGAACCTCGTTTCGTGCGAAAGGGTTGCGCGGGACAAGTTGAAATCGCAATTTTATCCCAGTTTTTGACGATCGCACCTCGTTTCGTGCGAAGGGGTTGCGCGGGACAAGTTGAATCGCCATTTTACGACAGTTTTTGACGATCGAACCTCGTTTCGTGCGAAAGGGTTGTGCGGGACAAGTTGAAATCGCAATTTTACCCAAGTTTTTGACGATCGAACCTCGTTTCGTGCGAAAGGGTTGCGTTTCGTGCCGTCTCGTTGGCACTGCCCCCGCCTTCAGAAGAGAAATAGAAAAGAAGGAGAGGGCAAGAGGGCAAGAGGGCAAGAGGAGAAGATGTGAAGATGTGAGGATGTGAAGATGTGAAGATGTGAGGATGAGAAGATGTGAAGATGAGCAAATGAGCAGATGTGAAGATGTGAAGATGAGCAGGTGTGAAGATGAAAAGATGTGAAGATGAGAGAAGATGTGAAGATGAGAAGATGTGAAGATCAGAAGATGTGAAGATGAGAAGATGTGAAGATGAGAAGATGTGAAGATGAGAAGGTGTGAAGATCAGAAGATGTGAAGTGAGAAGATGTGAAGATGAGAAGATGTGAAGATGAGAAGATGTGAAGTGAGCAGGTGTGAAGATGAGAATGTGTGAAGATGAGAAGATGTGAAGATGAGAAGATGTGAAGATGAGAATGTGTGAAGATGAGAAGATGTGAAGATGAGAAGATGTGAAGATGAGAAAATGTGAAGATGTGAAGTGAGAAGATGTGAAGATGAGAAGATGTGAAGATGAGAAGATGTGAAGATGAGAAGATGAGATACAGACCCCCGCTATTGGAAGAACACTGCACCCAGACGCTCTCGGGAACAAAAATTGGTATGGTATATTGATGTACCATCTGGTTATGACTAACAAACATTACCCATCATTTCTAGAGGGTCAAATGGTTGAACTATCTTTGATACCATTATCCAATCCCATTGCCCTCTAGTCATTTAACATAGCCATGGGAAATGACCCATAGAAATAGATGGTTTACCTATTAAAAATGGTGATTTTCCATGGCTATGTTAAATAACCAGATGGTAGGTGTGAACTTACCTATTTTTGGAGATTTTCAGTAGATGATGTTGAGTAGATGTGTTGATGTTTTTTTCCATCGTTAGGCCTTGCTATAGCAGCACATCATATTTCTAAACTCAGATGGACAGTGCGATGGCCTGAACACCAATAAGTATTGTCAATAGGTGTAAGTGTGTAATATGATAATACTTATTGGTTGACATATTGATTAATTATATATTGTCATATCAATGATTGTGTAGTTCTCCAATAACTTGATGTATTGTCATGTATTATCATGACACTGTCTCTCCGTATCTCATGCCGGACTTTCCTTGAAACCCTCCGTCGGCAAAGGCCGAAAGCCTCCGAAGCACCAAAAAGTGTCCCTGGTGAGGCAAGTATTGCAGGGTTTTACCTGGATAAATGGTGCAACCCCCAATGGGAATATCATGTGAATAAGTTGGTAAATATATTGTAAATATGAGGATCGTGGAAGAATTCTGACTTTTGGGGTATCAATGGTGTTTTTTCATGATTAATAGTGGCTTTAGGGATTTGACATACAATAGCTATACTATTTAAGGATGGATCGAATGCCGATTTCTCTGCGGATTGGACCTATGTGTACAAAACCCAAATTGGTTGATGGTTAGTTCGGGGGTTATACTAACGAATATAATGTGGAATATCACCCATTAGGGGAATCTCTATCAACTAACCAGTCTCTGCCCTTTGAGCTTTGAAGCCAATATGAAAGTTCCAGAGGAATGGGCTCCGAAATGATAAGTTTATGTCGGGGTATAACTCGGCAACTTGTGGAGGTTATTTCTGTAGTTAGATGGAGTTGTAAATCAGTTTATCAGTCAGGGGCCTTCTTGCGTTTGTGCAAGTATGGTGTCTTCTTGTGATAATAATCAAGTATGGTTTATGGTTTGCGCACAGCTATGTTTGAAGTTTGATCAAACTCCCAAGTGGCATAGAATCAAGTATGGTGTATACTTAGCACTTCTGCGTTGAACCGCTGAACTGTCGAAACCTTCACAGATGGGATTGACGAAGTTCAAGACGTGCAAGATCTGTCTCATATACCTTAGTTTTGGCACATCACCTGTATTAATTTCAGTTTCATACATTTAGCTGGCCCTTCATTGAAGGTGAATATTGTATATGTCTATGTGCATCCTCGATCCTGGGTTCATTGACTAGCAGGAGAACGCCAACAAGTAACTCCAAGCCACAAGGATTCCGAAGATGATTGTTTGATTTTCCTCTTGGACGTGGCCACAATAAATGGTCATGTGAAATTTTGTGGAAAAAAATAGTTGGGGCTATATTCCCAACTTAGGCTTTATAACTCTATAACCATAGTTATATCCGTTATATCCATGACCTCAACTGCAGTACATCCCCCAAGTTTTTCACACCCGTCTCTTCGTTTCAACGATCCAACTCAACCAAATCAACCAGGCCGAAAGCGAGGGGGTTCCCGTGACGAGGCCTCATGTATTGCCGTGGGATTCACCCCACACAATGCAATGGGCTAATAATGGTGATGAATGGTTTATATACATGGTTAGTAACCATTAATGGTTCATGATGGGTTCATGATGGGTGATTAATGGTGATTAATGGTGATTCATGGTGATTCATGATGATTAATGGTTTCATGGTTTCATGTGGGTAACTGCCTGGCTGCCATTTTTACCAGCCATGACTGGGGATGGTTGGTAAAAATCGCCATTTTTGTCGCCATATATCGCTGCTGGCTTGGGGATGGACCATGGCTGTCTGGTCACATCTCCAGTGTTGCTTAATTAATGGATCCCCAGCGATTTCTTGTGGTGAAATCCCTGTTTTTGTGGGTAAAGATATAGATCTTTATTTTGTTGATAAAATCCAGGGCTTCATGATGCCAGCAGCCCAAAACTTTGCTGGGAATCGTTAGTTTTCAGGTTGGTAAAATCGACATTTTGGCGGATCGAATCCAACACTTCCTTGATGAAATGCCAGTGTTTCGCTGATGAAAACTATATGTCTAGTTGATTAGAGCATATATCCCCAATGGTTCGGTGCTTTAGGTGTTTCATACGTAAGCCAAATGGTTCACCATGAACGGTCCCTGGTTTATGCTGAAATCCCCTGTTCCAGGCAGGAGAGTGAAGAGCCGGTTGGGAGACCCAGTGCAGAAAAATCATGCAGGATTTCAACGGCAAAAACCAGGGATTTCAACTACAAAAGTGGGCTGAAGTGGTAGATAAACTAACTTGGCCATGGCTTCCATAGCTGTCACAAATTGCCAGAAAGTATATACCCTGTTAACAACTACTTGGTGCATTTTCTTCTATTTTTTAAACCACGGCAGCCACGAAGCTTCTGAAATATTTTTTCGGAAAGAAGCCCACACTGTTGACACATCAAATTACATTACGATTTATAGCATCTCCCAAGAAGATTCCGGAAAAGGTTACCGTTCCCATTAGGATTTAGATTGTTCTATCTGTGGGGGGGTTCTATACAATACATCCAATATATATATATATATGTGTGTGGCCAGTATAACCACCATGTTATGACCTTTAAGTATGTGTTCCAGTTAAATTTTGAGTGACCAAAAGCTGTTGCTTCATGATTCGGTTAAATTTTGGCCTATCCTACCCTAAAAATTGGCGTTGGGCATTCTCATCTAAAGGAAAACCAAACAAAACCAACCCGAAAAATGCTGGAGGAAACATCATGAAATTTCTCAAGTGGCTTTCGGAGAAAAGCTCGCACCTAAAGGTAAAATCGGCTAAAAAATAGCTGGCGAAAGTGATGCTCATCCCCTCCATGGTGAGACGATCTTGCGGGATTCGAGCACCGGCCTGTGAATTAGTAATACTCTACTTTAGTCTTTTGGTATCAATCGGAATATCTACTAACCAGCAAAGAATTTATTTTTTTTGCAGGGTATCTAAGATTGGCAATGGAAATTAGAAAAGAGTATTATACTTGAACTGCATCAGATTGTATCACAAAAAACTCCAATTAGTAATATGACATCATATGACTATTTTGGGAGGTTTCCTATATTTTAGGGCTACCCCCAGTCATCATCCATATTTTTATAGGATTTTCTATCAGAAAGCTATCCAGCTATTGGGTACCCACATTTTCGGAAACCTTGGCACCAGCTCCGAGGCCAAAGTGGACACGGTGGAACCGGACGAACCGGACGAACCGGTGGAACCGGACACGGTGGAACCCGAGACAGGTGGGCGCGGCTGGCGCTGTGTCCCAAAAATTGTCCCTTGGAGAATGTGAGTTTCATGGACGAGCTTAGTATCGTTTGATGTAGTTTGATGTGGTTTAAGAATTACAGAATTAACTATCTTAAACCACATCAACTACTATATTTATCTATATAATGTGGTTAAATACATAGAATTATACTTTAATGTGGTTTAATATAGTTTGATGGCCTGATTCCGTGCTTTTTTTGACCGTCTCAGCCAAGCCAGCTAACTTTATGTTTTTTCAGATGGTCTAAGATAAGCACTGATTTCACACATGCTGAAATAACCACCAAACATTGGGTGTATTGAGTATGTTATCAAATGGATTGCTTGGTACTTTCAATGCTGTGTGTTTTCCCATCCTTAAAAGTGAGATGATCTGAATGATCTGAACAGACTCAAAGATGGTGGAGCTGCGTTGAAACGCGTTGAAACCATCCAGTCTCTGATTCTGATTTCTACATATTTCTACTACCAGTTCTACCAGCCATTTCTCAAAAAAGGCCATCCAGGCCCACGTTCAAAACTTCACGTCGCCAAGCGATGGCGATTTCCAATGGTCGCGCAGCTGCAGCCCTGCCGGTTCTGCTGGTGCTGTTTGCCCTATGGCAACGCATGGGCGTCCCCAATGTATCACGTGTCGTGGCGGTGGAGTTTGTTGGGATTTTAACGGGATATTGATGAGATACTAATGGTATTTAACATTAATGGGATGGTTTAATTAATGGTCACTTATATAGTTGATATCTAGTTAACTATATTATATTGATATTAACTATATTAACTATATCCATTTAGATAATTTACTATATTTAGTTATATATGCTCCAGTTCAATAATCCCATTAAATATCCCATTAAATATCCCATTAAATTTCCCACAAAATTTCCCATTAAAACATCCCATAAATGTTAAATATCCCATTATGGGATATTAATGGCATTGAATGGGATGATTAATCCCACCCCACTATGCAACGCCCTCATTCTACAATGTGGGGCCCCCAAACGATAGCGTTCAGTTGGTGAACATAACTCCAATGTCACTATGGTTTATGATACGCAAATAACTATAGTTAATGGGATTTATAAACCAACAAACATCACTGGGGGGCCCCAAATGTCTAGAAACCCCCAACAAAAAAAAAAAACAAACAAACAAACATGGTTGATGCGGGGCGTTGCTGAACATTTTGTGAAGGGATAGAACCCCCACTGAGATTTGTCAACCAATTAGTTAGGGATAGTGGCGCCCCCAAGAATTTAGGGTGCATTAAGGGTTTATTAACCACAAATAACCACAAATAACCACAAATAACCACAAAATAATGGCTTATAGTTGCTTAAAAACAATCTGTTCATAGGGAGGTCACCTTTTAAAATGGCTGAAGCTCCATGAAGTTCCAAAAATCTCTGATCTGAGGCTCGGAGACCAGGTCCCTGTCGATGATCCAGTTGAAACCCGAGCTTCAGAAGGCCCGGTTTTGAAAAATCGGGATTTCGTTTCCACAGTGACTGCAGTGGGAGATCATGGGATGTTTTTTCTGAGGTAAAAATAAGGGTAAAACATCAACCAATCCCCAGTCAGCGTTTTGGTGGTATGGTTACCGGTTACCATTCCCAGTCCTGGGTGGTTTAGGGCATTACCCCCATTATTGGGCCTACCCTGGGATGAGAATCCCGGCCTCGGCGGCTACTAACCATCAACCGGGGATCTGGTCGTTGTTCAAATGGTCAACGGATCATGTACTTGAAGGAGACAACATGGTATACTGACCATATGATGGCTACAATGATACGGTATTCTTGGGACCTAGCGTGATCATATTGAATGGGATGTGCGTGTGTATATATATATATATAGCTAATATGATATCATTTGGGGTTTGTCTCAAAATTTGGTGTGCCCCAAAATGGTCACCAAATATTGGGGAATATAATGTTAAACCACTGGGTTGTGGGTTTACACTATTTTCAGAGAAACCCAATGATGGTGGTTTACAGCAACCCCGAAACAGACAAACAAGGTAAAAGCCGACTACAAAGAGCGGCAAGTTGAACCTTTTGTGCATGTTTTTGGTGTTACTATGTATTGATTTACATATGTCGCATGGCCAAAAGTTGGCTATAACTATCAAGAATTTGGATGTCATTGCATTTTTATGAGGAAATGTTACGGGAACTTTTATGTAGAATGTAGAATTAAAAGTTGGATTTGGTTTACCCATGTCGGGGGATGATCATACCTCCATAGGAGTATGTATACATACCCATTTTTGAATCCGATTGAAAAACACTGGCAAATATGTCAGGCTTTTGGAAAACATACTGTGGATGGTTGAGAAATCTTGCACCAGTTGATAGGTTTCCCACTATTTATAGGGTTCCAACCATCCTTTTGGTGGTGCAGGATTTCGCAACCATCCACAGTACCAATAAAAATCTCGTGCATATGAATCAAAACAGTTTAACCGCGACCCGAAAGGCAAACCCCCCAACCATAAAGGCGGATTCATAGATATTAACCAACCACCACGTAGAATTTACAGGGCTTAACAGAACTAGCTATCCTTGGCAGGGTCACTTCTGGGGCCTGATTGTACTATATATATATACATATATATATCTATATACTACTAAAATACTACTATAATACTATAACATAACTATACCATCAATATTACTACATTACCATAATACTATATATTTAACTATATATACTACTATAATACTATATATATATTTTTAACTACATACTTCTATATTTATTTATATACTACTATAATGCTATATATATATACAACAATTTACTACTATAATATTATATATATATACAAATAACTATTTACTATTATAATACTATTTATTTACAGTAACTATTAAACTATATATTAATAAATCTATATATCATAGCAATCCCAGTTCCGCCGAGACCACCCTGGATGCGGAGCAGACTTTCTACGTCCCCGCCTTCGAGCAGCGTCGCATGCCCGGCGTGGTGCCCGCGGCTTCGTCCAGCGGCTGTCCGCATGAGGATGTTGAAAGTTTAGCACTGTTAACCCAGGGTTTACCCTCTGGTAAACATACAAAAAACTTTGGAAATACCCACCATTTTTCATGGGAAAACTCAATATTTCTATGGCCATTTTCAATAGCTATGTTTGTTTACCAGAGGGTACTTTATATGGGTTTCTATGGGTTTTTTGGTTGTTTTTTATTATATATGGATTTATGTTGTTTTCTTAAATGGATTTCTGTGGCTGTTTATATCAGGCAATATGGCTTTTGAATGGGTCTATCTTGGTTTGCATGGTTTATATCACTCAATTTGGGTTTGTATGGGCTTGATAGTGATTTCATGATGTTGATTTATTGAAGATGTATTGGAAATACAATGTGGATACAATGGGGATATCATCAGCACACAAACAACTGTTGATGGCTAACATGGGTTTACATCATTGATCGTTAACTGGAAGGGTTCTGAATACTGAAGGCTACGCTACGACAATTGTTGCACGATGGCTAACAACATCATTTAGATCAAAACCATTGATGGTTTTTGTGGGTAAGTGACGGCTATCTATCAGTTAGCATGGATTTTGACGCATACTTGGTATATAATGGGAATGTTTATGAGTTTACATTGGTATGTGGTGGGTATTAGTGGTATGTATAAGCAGCAATCATGGGATATTCACCCGATTCTTGATGAATATTGACCAAAAATAATGGATATTGATTAACGATAAACGGTTAGTATTCTTAGTGGATATTGGTTAATGGATATTAATGATTACTGGATATTGATAATGATTAATGAAAATGGTTTTGGTCGGCTTTTGTACCTTGGAATCTCTCGTTCTTGAACCTGCAGATCACGCCGCAGGAGGCTGATTTGATTCCCTTCGAGGACTTCTTGGAAGGGAAGGATCCCGCAGGAAATTTGATCCTCAGCAGTGTCCCAGCTCGTTGGAGTCTCGTGCGGTCATGCTATTCCCTACGCATTTAAGGCTTTACTAGGGGCTCATCAACTGCAATCAACCCCTATTGCGGGCTTATGAAGTTCCTACTGTTTCGGGGGTTGACCTTCGGGGCAGCCTTAAACTTCTATGAATTCCGGGTTACTACTGCCAGCATTTGCGATCCGAGTACAATGTCCCCTGAATTACGAACGTGAACTGCTATTTGGCCACATTTCCACACAGTTTTTAGTCATATTTTACACCGTAGCCTCCATTGGCAAGCGACCAGCCCCAAAGCTATCACTGGGTTTCAGCCAACTTCCCCCAAAGCTTACCCCCCAATAATAACGGGTTTGGGCTTATCAACCACCAACAACCACAATCACAAACCACTACTTATTGAGCATCCAGTATCCGAGGGTGGTCACTTTTGGTTGGAGTTTGAAGCTGTGAGCCACAATCCGCCATGTTTATTGCTTGCATTCCAATTCTTATGATTGACACCATCCCCGTTTTTTTGGTTCAAACCTCCCGAACATCCTGGTCTTGGCGGTACCTCCCAAGCGGTCAGAGAAGGTTTCAAAGTCATGTTGCGGTTGATACCGCCTATTCAGAAGGCAATTCATGGTGGATGGTGAATCCTATTGCTTTAAAATCATTTCTCCAAAAAAATGCAAAATACGTTTCACGTTTCCCCGCAGTTGTCCCACTGTTTTTTTAGGTGGCCGTTACCTGCTGTCCACCAGCCTGACTGTCGGCTCCCTGACGATCTCCGAGCAAGCGGAGCTGGTGCTGGGTGAAAACTTGGAACTGCAGACCAGGGCCATTTGGGTCAAAGGACTGAGGGGGTCAGAAGGAGTAAGTGGTGTATATTAAATCCATTAAAGTCAGGGATATTCCGTTAATGTGGATCATGGCATATTAATGGAATAACATGGAATAACTCATCTATAAGCCCAATATTCAGTTTGTTCTAAGTGGCTTAGAATATGGTTACTTTACAAAGTGAGATGTACATCCAAGTGGGCGTGAGAAACCTGTGGCTGGGGGTGGTTGTGCGGAGTGATATTCTGGGACTGTTTGCTGGTGTAAAACCATGCACTTTATATCGATTATCCAACCAATAATTTATGTTTGAGTTGTCTGAATATTTGCGATCTAGCCTAGTTTACTGCAAGTTTCAGAGGAAAGATGAAGTTTGAAACAATGATTTTTTTGGGTTGGCACCACTTCAAAAGAAAGACTGCGAAAATCGGGTTGCACGTGTTTGGTCCCACTAAGCTCTGATCTATCCATATTTCCGGTGGTGCCACATAGTTAGCTAAGTTGGCTTATAACTCCAAAAACTGGGCTTCATGGATGTTTATGATAGATATATCATGATATATCTATAGCTACCCTATGGTAAACATACAAAAAGCTACTGAAAATGGCCCAGTCGAAATAGTGGATTTACCTATTAAACATGGTGGATCTTTCCATAGTTTTTTGTATGTTTACCAGAGGCTAATATGGCTTCAAAAAAAAAACACGGATCCATCACTACACCGATCTGCGAGGAGTGCTGCGCCTGGGATCTGACAGCTGTCGCCTGCAGAATCTGGTGATCACGTTCACCGGCGATGGCGACAAAGACGCCAGGCACGCCACGGCACCGCAGCCGGGGGGGAAGACAACGCAGCCGGGTAGGGGGAAGCCGGTGAAGCCCTTAGTCATTGCCATGTCATTGCCATAAAGTATATAAAGCACCTATGAATGGCTACAAACCCTGAAGAGTGGTTGGATGACTTGCACTTGTTGAAACCAGTGCAAGTCATGAAGCTCTCTTGATGGCCAAACACAAGACGAAGTTGGACGACCATACCCCAACTGCATATACGATGTCAACCCACAAACCTAAAGTAGATGATAACAACATATATAAACCCATCAAAAAGGTCTGTCCTGCATCACCTCTCGATATAAGTCACCAACTATACTCTCTTTATACACATATAATCATAATTACATACATGTAGTCACCAACTATACTCTATATATATACATACATGTAATGTAACATGTTTTTTTGCACACGGCTACATCTCAACCTCTGCCAGGTCCAGCAACGCGTTGGAGACCAAAGGCTTGGTGGTCTCCGGGGAACTCCACGCCTTCGGCCACCGCTTCCGGCCCACCTGGACGCGTCTGGCGCAAGCTGCGGCGGCGGGAAGCAGCACGCTGCAGCTGATGGAGGAGGATGGGAGATGGGGATCCTACGATGGTGACATGTAGCTCAGTTAGATCCAGTTAGTACTTGAAGGAATATATATATATTTATATTTATTTATTTATACGTATATGTATATATATATGTCTATATCTACGTCTATATCTATGTCTATATCTATGTCTATATCTACATATATGCATGTATTGGGTTGATAAGTTTGGTAAGGGAATGCGTATGGGGAATCATCCCAAAATCTGCTGATTTCTGATGTGGGAATGGTCATAACTTTCCCAGAAGGACATCATTGGATGACGGACAAACCGAGTATGTTTCAGGTGGAAGTAACGTATGTTTATGTAATATATATATATACATATTTGGGATTTCTAATATACCCATAATTGTGTTTATCTAACAAGTGAATTTACCCATCTTTGGTACATGTTGGGATACTTTGGTCATCCGCATTGATTTCCCCCATCGACAGCCAGGTGGACTGGCAGGTGGGTCAGCAGCTGGTGGTGGTCACCACTGCCTGGACCGACGACCCCGAGGATCACCAGAACGAGCTGCGAAGCATCAGCGCCGTCAGCGGCGCGCAGCCTGGTGTGGAGGAGATCACCAGTTGATCGGTGGTAGACAACCCACTTTTGCGGGGTTTTAGGTCATCCTTTTGGTGATTTCGCAACCACAGTATGTCTGTTTTTTTCTAATGAGTTTGCGTTTCTTTTTGAAAGTTTGTTTTAAGAAAATGGATGCATTACAGCTAGAACCATACAGATTTTGATTCTTAATGGCCTTTTCTGGGATTAAATGATGAGATGGGCAAACACATTCGTTTCCCCCGAAGAATCCAATGTATACAATGTATATATCCTGATAGTCGATTTACTTTTTTTTTTAAAGCTCTGAGTATGTTGATTGCGAGGTATACATACACATACCTTTCTCATCGAAAGCCATTAAATACCATTAGATTCCCCGATATTTCCCATATCTTCCCCACATAAATCCCATGAACTACCATTAATTTCACCCTGTTTTTCCATATATTTCCCACATTAAATGTTCATATTCATATAATATATATATATATCGGATATCTTTCCCATATATTTTCCCATTTTTAATGGGACATTTCCTATATATGCCCCATGAAATGGACCTCGTTTTGAGGCAGATCACCCTCTCCGCGCCCTTAGACTTCGACCACTATGGCGGCCCCGAGTACTTTGCCGAGGTCGCCCTGCTTTCGCGCTCCGTGACCTTCCAAGGCGCCGCTCCAACCGGGGTTCCTACGAAACACCGGTGAAAACTGGAGGGAAAACCATGGTTTTCATGAGAAAACCTTGGGAAAGCCTATGATTTTTCCATTTGTTTGGTAGAATCATGGGGTAAGCCCTATGATTAAAACCCTATCATTTTTCCATGAGATTTGGATGAACATCCAAAAAAAAACACATTATTTTGAATGTGAACAGATGGCCATCAGGGTTTTGAGCCATAGCAATGCGAAAACATGTAAGCATGTGAAAAACATGGAGTTTCTTGATTTTGAGATGGAAAATGGAACGTTGAGGGAAGTCGGGTGATTTTTTAGATGATGTTGTGTGATTTTCCCATGCGCAATGAGGAATTATGGGAGCCCTTTAGGGAAATCCTACAGGTAAACGATTTGAAATGCCAAGGAAATCTGGTAACTGAAAATGTGCAGATGGTGCAGATGGAATTTGTTTAACCGGTTTTCCCATGGTTTAACCGGTTTTGTTCATCGCGAACGACGGAACGACAGAACGATGCAGGTGATGCGAGTAGCGAGGCGAGTCGCTATGGAGGACATGTGATGTGTGTACCAGGCGCCAAATGCCAAGTGGCCGGCGTGTTGGGCTTCCGCATGGGGCAGGAGAATTTCATGGGGAGGCGATGGGGCTGGGCTTGGGGTTGGATGTTGGTCAAAAGTTAAAGGTGGTGGAGAATGTTTGATGAGCGAGATGACTAATTATGTTATATAAATATATATAAATATTGTAAATGTTGAAGAATAGCCAGGTTTTTCTAAATGTGGATTGGTGGCTGGTAATGGGTTTATCAGGATTCACCAACAATAAGTGGTGACGATAAATTTCAGAGGATCTTGGCGTGCCATGTGTTGATATCCCAGCCACCATTCTTATCAAACGCCCGTTAAATACAACGTGGTGCCCCCTAGTTATAAATTGGTTTATAAAAACCCCATGAAAACTATAGTTATAAGTACCATAAACCATAGTTATTGGAGTTATAAACCAACTTAGCTATCTAAGGGGCCCCACCTTGTACCTGTTAAGTCGTAAGTACAATGTCAATACAATTTTACATGTCTGGCGAATACCCAGCTTGATACGCTTAACATACAAGCACCCATCCCATTTTTCTGAAATAGTAAGCCATAGAATGCCATACTATGTGGCACTTAGAGAGGCCCCATATCCCAACTATCAAGACACCCCAAGTGCCATGGCCCTCACATGGTGTGGCCCTCATCACCAGGTATCCTTTCCATTTCCACATGATGGGCACCGTCAGCGACAGTTTCTTTGAAGACTGCGCCGTGCAGCACAGCTTCTTCCGCGCCTATACCGTGCATGGCACGTCCTCCAGTCGCGTCTCCCGCAACGTGGCATACGACGTCTCGGGTAGCGCCTACTACTTGGAAGATGGGAACGAGGTGAGATCAGTTTAAGCTGGTTTTGGAGGCTGGAGATGATTTAAATATACGTATTTTAACCACCTCCCAAAAAAAGATGGAAACGTCAAATCTTGCTAAAGTTATAAGGTAAAATACGTGTCCTTCTAAGGTTATTGTGGTTAAAATGTGGAAATCCTGCAAATATGTTGGTTTTACTGGGGGAAGATCGGCTGAGAGGGGTGAGAGAATCGACCGAATCGACCTCATTCCAAGAGGTGCTTCGGTGCACCGTGGCATCTGCTTAAACCACTCCTTGAGTGGAACTGTAGTGTTTCCAGGGTACAGTATATAGTTGCCATAATATGAACTTTTGGTTCATATACCACATACCCACATTTTGTTGGTACCATCTTCACCCTTTTTAATCACCCCATGTACCGGTTATCTCAGACGCCTGGCCATCTGGCTATGGCCTTGCCAGGAGAACAACCTCTTTGACTACAACCTTGCCGCTTTTGTGCACATCATCGATCGGCTCTCCGACTACGAGAATGGTGGTGGACAAGGACACCCAGATAGCGCCATGATGGGTTATAGTTATACTATTAGATGATGGGTTATAGGGGATACCCCACCTATTTCCCAGCAAGTATAATCGGATGTACTAGGGGTATTTTTGTTGTTCATGGCTCAGCTCAACTGATGACATGGATCAGAGTTGCAATCCTCAGTATTGGTGAACCAGCACTATCACGGAAAATTAGAACCATACATGGTTGATAAAACGGGTATACATCTAGTCTCAATTAGTTAATATATTTCCTCAGAATTGGATTATATCCCCTTTCTTCCAAGATGAGTCATCATTTCAACGACCTCAACATGCATTTTAAAAAGGCACGCTGTAGACTGCCCTTTGAATTATCAGTTTTCTCCCAAATGATGGGTCCAAAAATAGGGCGAAACCAAATCGGCTGGGATGTTTGGTGGGTCTATATGTCTACATATAATCATGTCGGCATGCATAATATGTCGAATTGTTTGTCTCTCTTTTTGTTCCTCTGTCTCTCTCTCTCTCTCTCTCTGTTTGTCTATCTGTCTGTCTATCTGTCAAACTATCTGTCTATCCCGCCTCCAGCCGATTGGGGTCCAGCCTTACTGGTCCTCGATCGATTGTGTTTGAGAAACACAACACAAAGAGAGACGGGGAAAGAGAACAAAAGAGAGCAACAATGAACAATGATACAACATAAGGACACACAGCAGTTTTTGAATTTGTTTACCTGAGTGTTCCAAACTGCACTTTTGCAGTTATCTGGCTGGTGCCTTCATTTTGAAACGTTTTGTTTTGGGTTTCGTTGCTTGCTTGGATTTCAGCTTATTGAAGAACGAACAAAAATACGTCAAGGAAGAGGAAAACCGGCATCGGTTCTGTTGATGTTGGTCAACCCCAACATGATACTACAAAATGTGTATGAAAAATATTGTCTTGGTGCTGGTCGATCACAACATCAAACTACAAGATATGACTGAAGAAATCGATTTGGTGTTGATCTGTCACAAGCATCATACTACAAATGTCCACTAGCAAAAACAAATCCTCAAATTTTCATAAGTAATGTACACTTTGCCGTCAGGTTTCACTGCAGCAACTTGGACATGTCGCTTTGTCGATCATGGTTTTAGCGAAACTGAAATTACATTTTGTAAGCCACCATATTATGTAGATCAAAATTGGGTGCGCAGGATCACCCCCTGTATTTCCACCCCGGTCCTTTTGTTTGGAAGAGCAAAATATCAACTTCGGATGGAAGTTGTGATTGCTGTTTGACAATGTTGGCCAAATTTAGGGGTTTCCTGGGCGGGAGTGTGAATTTTCCGGAAGACGCGGGTCTTGGCGATGTGTGAGGAGAATCGCCTGGCAGAAACTCAGAGTGGTGGAGGCTCGAATGGGGTGAATCAGTGGTATAAGTTTTCACAGCGCCCATGAGGGGAAACCAAAGCCAAAAGGTTATGAGTCACCTCGTCCGACAAGCTCGAGGCGCAGTGATTTGGGCTGGTGGCTGCAAAAGGGTTGCGTTCATTGGCAGCTCTGCTTCCGCATTCTCAGAATGGTCGCAACTAAACACAAAACTCCTTTTTCCCCACAACTTTGTGTGGAGTTCTTGTTTTTGATTCTGTACCCCGGGTCTGCTCCGCCTCCTCCTCCCGCCTCCCGCCTCCACCTCACTAACACATACACAACTTTGTCACATACCAATCTCTCACATACCATAACTTCACACACACAAATTTGACATACAATAACTTCACACACACTCACACATACACAACTTTGTCACACCCCATCTCTCACATACCATAACTTCACACACAAATTTAACATACAATAACTTCACACACACACAAACTTAACATACAATAACTTCACACACTTTGTCACACCCCATCTCTCACATACCATAACTTCACACACACAAATTTAACATACAATAACTTCACACACACAAACTTAACATACAATAACTTCACACACACTCACACATACTACAATAACTTCACACACACTCACACACACAACTTTGTCACATACCATCTCTCACATACAATAACTTCACAGACACACACACACAAACTTAACATACAATAACTTCTGCGTGGCAGGCGTGGCACTTATGGTACTGGGCGGCGCGCGTGGGCCCGGATTTTTCGCCTGTGACGCCGCGGCACTTTGCGTGGCTGTTGTGGCACTTGGTGACATCCACCTTCGTTTCACGTGGCAGCTGTGGCACAAACTCACGTGGCAGCTGTGGCACAAACTCACATCCACGGTCGTTTTGCGTGGCAGGCGTGACACTTATGGCATTGGGTGGCGCCCTTGGGCTTGGTTTTGTCGCCCGTGACGCCGCGGCTGTTTGCGTGGCAGGCGTGGCACTTGGTGACATCCACCTTCGTTTCACGTGGCAGGCGTGGCACAATCTGACATCCACGGTCGTTTTGCGTGGCAGGCGTGGCACTTATGGTACTGGGGTGGCGCCCTGGGGCCCAGTTTTGTCGCCCGTGACGCCGCGGTACTTTGCGTGGCAGGCGTGGCACTTGGTTTCACGTGGCAGGCGTGGCACAATCTTACATCCACGGTCGTTTTGCGTGGCAGGCGTGGCACTTATGGTACTGGGTGGCGCGCTTGGGCCCGGATTTGTCGCCTGTGACGCCGCGGGTGTTTGCGTGGCAGGCGTGGCACTTGGTGACATCCACCTTCGTTTCACGTGGCAGCTGTGGCACAAACTCACATCCACGGTCGTTTTGCGAGAATCCACTGAACATTACCTTCGGACCCGAGGTGACGAGGAAGATGCTGATGATGCCAATGACGATGCCGATGACGACGAGGAAGAGGCCGATGCTGCAGTTGCTCCTGAGATCTCCAAGGGAGGACAGATTCAGACGCTGGTTTGAGCTCTCTACCATGTATTGCCCAGATTATCAACAGCAAAAACTGCTTCGGAGAAGGCTCTTGGAGGTTCTCAAGACTATTTTGGGCTAAACTTAGGGTTTCTGGACGTGCAATGACAATCAACTGCAACCAATCTTTAGCTTTGGCTCATACGGATCATACGCCGAGCTGGAGCAAAACTTACCCATGTTTGAAATATCTATCTATTGTAGTTCATGACTTGGATGGCTTGCCTGGGGTTATAGGGTGTCATGACCCACAGCCAATCAAATCTCGGACAGTTTGGTACTTGGCATGTGATGATCATCTGGTGGCTTCAGGGCGAGCGGCCATGTAAACCACCCGTCCAAGCGATTTGGGATCGGCCATTGGAAGAGGAGGCGGGATCCCAATGGCCGATTTGTGGTGAATCTTCCTAAAGTGCTACGCTTCAGACTTTGAGAGCTGTTTCTGCAAGGTCACGGCCGCGGGATTCTCGTGAAAATACTTCCGTACTTTTCAGTAGACTTGCATTTAGTTCTAAATGTAGCCACGTCTATCTACATACTCGTCCAAGGTTGAAGGGACAGGAGGGATTGTTCACTGTTTAACTAATTTTTACACAGGTGTAACTTTGAGTTTGCTAGGTATACCAGGCACAGCCAAGTGCCGCTTGATAAGATCTTTTTGGTGCTTTTCTGAGCACTCGCCGACTTTTGAAGGGATCGACGATTACCATGCAAGTCATTGGGTACCAAAAAAGATTCGATGGTCATTGGGTGTCATTGGTCCAAAGTTGGCCATGAAGCCAAACTGACCAAGCAGTAGTCCATTGTGTCCACCAAACAGATGGTAATCCAGCGTAGCCATGGCCCATTAGGATCGTTGAAGAGTGGAGAGCTGTGGCAGAATGTTCCCCAGGATGAGAAACAAGGTGATGTCCAAGCTGATGCTTGGTTTGCTTTGGCAGCCGATGCAGCCGGAGGCTGAGTCTAATAGCTCGGAGTGAATGGCCGGGAAAAAGCATCCTTCCCGATTTTGCTGAGTTCGTTCCCCCGGGTGGCAACGTTTTGAGGCTTTCGGGCTTTCGTTCTGCACGTTTGAGGTGAATCACTTCTGGCCTGAAAGCTTCATGTTCACTTGGCAGTTCACGTGGCCGTCGTGCCCGTGCACCACCAGGTGGGCATCATTTTGTCACTGCAAACGACGGACTTCTAAGACACGGGCCAGGTATGGTTGCTGAGGAGCTGACGGTCTGAGGGCAATCGGACAAAATGAGACCAGGTTGAATATCGGCCTGTTGTCTCTGTGATGGCAGAGTTGACAACCAACAGCTGTCTGATGAACTGTCTGATGAATCTTTTGTTTCACAGGACGTCATCACAGGACGTCATCACAGGACGTCATCGCAGGACATCATCATTCAAGCTTTGCATGCCGTTTTATGTGTTGCATGATGACCGAGATCACATGGTTTCATAGATGCCGAACCCCGCCAATCATCACACACTTCGCATGGTTCAAGCCTGTATTGACGTCTGCCTTAGCCAAACACTTTCGAAAGCTCTGCGGCAGCAGAGTCATGCTAAACAGGAAACTTCTCCCACATCCGGTGTTGGACACACAGGGAAAACAAAAGGTCAAAGAGCCACAACTTGATGTATTTGCTGTCAAAAACTTTGTCCTTGCATCAGTGAACTCGTTTGCAGGTTTGACACACGACTCGCATTGAACATCTGTCGGCACCGCGAGCTGTCTGAAAGAGTGGGGGCTGGAGGCGGGAACAGTTTGAGGAACAGATAGGAGGCCAACATGACCCGAACTTCATCATGTGATTCATGTGGTTATGAAAACATGTTACCGGACAAAACCAAAAAACATTGGCATCCCAGATGCAAAGCAAACTCTGATGCCTCATCCAGGCAAACTTGTTCGTTACCTTTGATGCCAGGTTGCTTGCTCCACTCATCCTGGCCGCGAGCTGGATGGTCCTGCGATACAGGGATGTGATGTGGACCATGATATGGGTCAAGTTTTGAGAAAAGCAAATATGGTTGTTCCGTTGGCTTCCATTGAGGTAATAAAACATAGCAATGAATGTGGAGCAGTGTAGTAAATGGCAAGATATTGAACGCGGGATGTGAAATGGATTTGTCATCACACAGTGTCAAGTTGTCATCTTGTATCTCTAATACGCTGACAAAAACCCCAAAGACCATCCCGCAGAAAATCTTTAGCCAATTGCCAATTCACCATAATTCGCCAGATCTGTCTCCATCTGTTGTTTCTGTTGGCCACGCGGTGATGTCACCATCCCTTCCACGCCCACGCCCAAACTTGGAGGCAGAACTCCATCGGGCCCAAAGGGCGTGGCAGGCGTGGCACTTATGGCATTGGGTGGCGCCCTTGGGCCCGGTTTTGTCGCCCGTGATGCCGCGGTACTTTGCGTGGCAGGCGTGCACTTGGTGACATCCACCGTCGTTTCACGTGGCCGACGTGGCACACACTCACATCCACGGTCGTTTTGCGTGGCAGGCGTGGCACTTATGGTACTGGGTGGCGCCCTTGGGCTTGGTTTTGTCGCCCGTGACGCCGCGGCTGTTTGCGTGGCAGCCGTGGCACTTGGTGACATCCACCTTCGTTTCACGTGGCGGCTGTGGCACAAACTCACATCAACGGTCGTTTTGCGTGGCAGGCGTGGCAAATGGCATTGGGTGGCGCCCTTGGGCCCGGTTTTGTCGCCCGTGACGCCGCGGCTGTTTGCGTGGCAGGCGTGGCACTTGGTGACATCCACTTTCGTTTCACATGGCCAGTGTGGCGCAAACTGACATCCACCTTCGTTTTGCGTGGCAGGCGTGGCACTTATGGCATTGGGTGGCGCCCTTGGGCCCGGATTTGTCGCCTGTGACGCCGCGGCACTTTGCGTGGCAGGCGTGGCACTTGGTGACATCCACTTTCCTTTACCGTGGCAGGCGTGGCACAAACTCACATCCACGGTCGTTTTGCGTTGCAGGCGTGGCTCTTATGGTACTGGGTGGCGCGCTTGGGCCCGGATTTGTCGCCTGTGACGCCGCGGCACTTTGCGTGGCAGCCGTGGCACTTGGTGACATCCACCTTCGTTTCACGTGGCAGGCGTGGCACAATCTGACATCCACGGTCGTTTTGCGTGGCAGGCGTGGCACTTATGGTACTGGGTGGCGCGCTTGGGCCCGGATTTGTCGCCTGTGACGCCGCGGCACTTTGCGTGGCAGCCGTGGCACTTGGTGACATCCACCTTCGTTTCACGTGGCAGTTGTGGCACAAACTCACATCCACGGTCGTTTTGCGTGGCAGGCGTGGCACTTATGGCATTGGGTGGCGCCCTTGGGCCCGGTTTTGTCGCCCGTGACGCCGCGGCTGTTTGCGTGGCAGGCGTGGCACTTGGTGACATCCACTTTCGTTTCACGTGGCAGGTGTGGCACTTGGTCACATCTACGTTGGTTTTGCGTGGCAGGCGGGGCACAATCTCACATCCACCTTCGTTTTGCGTGGCACCATCTTTGACACACTCTCTTTCACACACCACTTTGTCACACACCATCTTTCACACACCATCTTTCACACCCAACTTTGTCACCCACCATCTTTCACGCACCATCTTTCACACACCACTTTGTCACCCACCATCTTTGACACACCATCTTTCACACACAACTTTGCCACACACACCACTTTGTCACACACCATCTTTGACACACCCTCTTTTACACACCATCTTTGTAACACACCATCTTTCACACCATCTTTTACACCCAACTTTGTCAAACACCATCTTTGACACACTCTCTTTCACACACCACTTTGTCACACACCATCTTTCACACACCATCTTTCACACCCAACTTTGTCACCCACCATCTTTCACGCACCATCTTTCACACACCACTTTGTCACCCACCATCTTTGACACACCATCTTTCACACACAACTTTGCCACACACACCACTTTGTCACACACCGTCTTTCACACACAACTTTGTCACACGCTCTCTTTCACACAGAACTTTCACCCACACCATCTTTCACCACACCATCCTTCACACACCACTTTGTCACACACCATCTTTCACCACACCATCCTTCACACACACAACTTTGTCACACACCATCTTTCGCCACACCATCTTTCACACACCACTTTGTCACACACCATCTTTCACACACAACTTTGTCACACGCTCTCTTTCACACACAACTTTCACACACACCATCTTTCACACACTGCTTTGTTAGACACACACACACACCATCTTTCTTCATTCCACTTTGTCACTCACAACTGTTTTAACTTCTCGATCCTTCACCGCCTCCTTTCCCTTACCTTCTTTCCCCGTCCCTGCTACAACCTTTCATGCTTATTATTGGAAGAAGTTGACTTGTGGGGTTATCCGGTCCTTTAATTCTGTCAGAGAGGCAGCCCATCGCCGGAAATTGTAATGACTTTGGCATCAGTTTGACACAGCTCTGTTTGAATCTTCGATTAAATCGCTGCAAAGTGGATGTCCAGGCCCAAAGGTGTTAGCCCCGCTATTGCAGCGGCTGCGCAGCAATACGAGGTGAGAGACTGAGAGACCAAACGAAGGCCAATGGTGGCCTCCAGCAGATGCCTTCCCAGGAGTGACGCGCTCATCGTGACCCAAAGCTTGCAACTTCAGAAATATCAGGTCTAAAGTTTGCACCTTCAGAAAGATGTTTAAGATCTGTTTTGGACTAGTTGAAGTGTTTTTGTTTTTGCACATCACGGTGCAGAATCGAGGTGCAAGTAAGCATCGTACTGCTGGCCTAATCCAATCTGATCTAATCTAATCTAATGAAATCTAATGAAATCTAATCTAATCTATCTACCTATCTACCTATCTACCTATCTATTTATCTGTCTATCTGTCTATCTGTCTATCTGTCTGATGAGAAAAACAACACAAAGAGAGACGGGGAAAGAGAACAAAAGAGAGCAACAATGAACAATGATACAACATAAGGACACACAGCAGTTTTTGAATTTGTTTACCTGAGTGTTCCAAACTGCACTTTTGCAGTTATCTGGCTGGTGCCTTCATTTTGAAACGTTTTGTTTTGGGGTTCGTTGCTTGCTTGGATTTCAGCTTATTGAAGAACGAACAAAAATACGTCAAGAAAGAGGAAAACCGGCATCGGTTCTGTTGATGTTGGTCAACCCCAACATGATACTACAAAATGTGTATGAAAAATATTGTCTTGGTGCTGGTCGATCACAACATCAAACTACAAGATATGACTGAAGAAATCGATTTGGTGTTGATCTGTCACAAGCATCATACTACAAATGTCCACTAGCAAAAACAAATCCTCAAATTTTCATAAGTAATGTACACTTTGCCGTCAGGTTTCACTGCAGCAACTTGGACATGTCGCTTTGTCGATCATGGTTTTAGCGAAACTGAAATTACATTTTGTAAACCACCATATTATGTAGATCAAAATTGGGTGCGCAGGATCACCCCCTGTATTTCCACCCCGATCCTTTTGTTTGGAAGAGCAAAATATCAACTTCGGATGGAAGTTGTGATTGCTGTTTGACAATGTTGGCCAAATTTAGGGGTGTCCTGGGCGGGAGTGTGAATTTTTCCGGAAGACGCGGGTCTTGGCGATGTGTGAGGAGAATCGCCTGGCAGAAACTCAGAGTGGTGGAGGCTCGAATGGGGTGAATCAGTGGTATAAGTTTTCACAGCGCCCATGAGGGGAAACCAAAGCCAAAAGGTTATGAGTCACCTCGTCCGACAAGCTCGAGGCGCAGTGATTTGGGCTGGTGGCTGCAAAAGGGTTGCGTTCATTGGCAGCTCTGCTTCCGCATTCTCAGAATGGTCGCAACTAAACACAAGACTCCTTTTTCTGTCAGAGAGGCAGCCCATCGCCGGAAATTGTAATGACTTTGGCATCAGTTTGACACAGCTGTGTTTGAATCTTATATGAAATCGTTGCAAAGTGGATGTCCAGGCCCAAAGGTGTTAGCCCCGCTATTGCAGCGGCTGCGCAGCAATACGAGGTGAGAGACTGAGAGACCAAACGAAGGCCAATGGTGGCCTCCAGCAGATGCCTTTCCAGGAGTGACGCGCTCATCGTGACCCAAAGCTTGCAACTTCAGAAATATCAGGTCTAAAGTTTGCACCTTCAGAAAGATGTTTAAGATCTGTTTTGGACTAGTTGAAGTGTTTTTGTTTTTGCACATCACGGTGCAGAATCGAGGTGCAAGTAAGCATCGTACTGCTGGCCTAATCCAATCTGATCTAATCTAATCTAATCTAATGATATCTAATGAAATCTAATCTAATCTATATACCTATCTACCTATCTAACTATCTATCTATCTGTCTATCTGTCTATCTGTCTATCTGTCTGTCTATCTCTCCATCCATCCATCCATCCATCCATCCATCCATCCATCCATCGATCGATCGATCTATCTATCTATCTATCTATCTATCTATCTATTTGGCTTTGTCTGGAAATAGGGATCCTAAAGCTTAGGTTTCCTTTTCAAAAGGTTATTTGAGAAGGTACCTCATTTTCAGACAATGCCAAACCTTGCATTGTTGGTAAAATCCCATCATATCCGCTATCCTTGTAACATGGTTGGTGTGAGACCCGTTTTGTTGTTACTTAAAGCCATCAGTTTATCTTCTGCCGACTATCTCCCATCATTCCTGTTATTCTTCCACTTTTCTTGGGGATAGATATCCATCCCTGGGGAATATCGCCAGATATACCTACCCCATGTTTGGACAAATTCATATCATATCAAGCTGGCTATATATCCCATCATCTCCCATAATATTATAGTATGAATATATATATATATATTCGAATATATATATATGGTTGGTGGTTTGGAACATTTTCTGTTTTTCCATAAATTGGGAATGATCATCCCAACTGACTTTCATATTTTTCAGAGAGGTAGGTATACCACCATATATTTTTTTAATATTAATCCGCATTATTTAATGATTAAAAAAAACCCGGGATGGCATTTCTGTTGGCACATCCATAGCTGCACCAGGAGGCGTCACTGTGCAGACCCAAGCCAGTCGCATTGTGCCGACCGATGCCACGGCCGTTGGCTTCTATTGCACCAATGCCAAGAACAGGTGCCACAACGGGTGGAAAACCTGAGGAAAATACCCAACCAAGATGAAGACGAGAAGCATTCACCTGCATGAAGTGGATGGATTTTGTTTGCATCTCGATATAGGGGTGTGTGCAGAAAAAACTGCAATTGTGCTGTGGATCCCAGCATGTCCCATGAGATTTCCATTGGTGTTAGTAAACATGTCCGTTTTAAGTGTTATGATGTGTTATGTAAATATATATATATATATAATAATAATATATATATATATATATATGATCGTATTCAGCCACCATAATAACATGAGGATATATTATTCATATAAGCTAGGTAGGTAATCTGTTGCCATCTTGATATGTTGACCAAATCGGCTCGAAAGATCGACCATGTTTAGATTTTTTTTACCACAAAAAGTGCTTGGATATGTTGGATAACAAGGCCTGGGAAATACGTGGGAAATACGTGGGAAATACGTGGGAAATACGTAGGAAATGTACTGCAGAGCCCCATGGAATGTGTGATTTTCTCGATTTCGAGCCCCCATGTCGAAGATTTTTCGTTCGGAGCGCTGCCCTGCCGGAAAACACAGGGCGGCAGGCCTGTTATCCCCGCCAAAAAAAAGAAGCTGGGGTTCATTTCAAAAGGACCTACATTTTTGGGAGGACATCTTGTAGGTAGAATAATTTGATTTGTTTGGTATGACTATTCCGATGATCACTAACTATCAAGTCTTTTGAGATGCTTTCTAACAGTGAGTCTAGCAGTCATACTTTCACACCACTATCTATAACACCTACAATAAGTAAGACTGATAGTTGCATATTTTCCATTGAAATCCTGACAGTGAATGGGATTTTTGCAGGAAAACCGGACAACCGGAAAACCGAACAAAGTTACTGATAAAAAGTCAGCCTGCTTCCAAGATTTTCCCAAGAAAAACAACTCTATTGAAGTCCAAAAGTATCGTCTCCCCATTATATCTCCGCTATACCACTTAAATACGATATGTATCCCACACGTAACCCATATTCATCACATATTTGATAGAGGTAGACGTTTACATCGACGTGGAAAACCCAAGGTTTCCCTTTCAGAAACCGATCTAGAAATGGTGATTTCTCCACATCGATGTAAATGTTTACCGGATGGTGAATCACAAACAATGGCCATTTCAGGAACCGATTCATTGGAGGTACCTACCATATATAATGCCTATTTTTTAGGCCTGTGTAAGGGAATATCCCCAGAAAATATGGCCTTGTATGGTACAGTACCTCCATTTTAGGATCCTGAAATTCCCATTGATACATGGTAAAATCAATTACCCTCTGGTTATTTAACATAGCCATGGAAAATGGCCCATTTATAGATGGTTTACCGTTCTTTAAAATGGGTGGATTTTCCATGGCGCTGTTAAATAACCAGATGGTAATATGATTACCCGGGTTTACCTGGTTGATAATGGGATTTTAATGGGATAATCCCAATATAACGAGGTAAACCCTAGTAAAATCACATAACATCCCCATATATAATATATATATATATATATTTACCCCATAGCTGTCCTTTCTGAGGTCATCTGATCCCGTGTTAATCCCATAAACAAGTCCCAGTGTTTCATTATTGTTGCCCAATGGTCACCCATCAATAATGAAATAATATATATATTACCAATAGTTACCAATAGTTGCCAATAGTTACCAATAGTTACCAATAGTTACCAATAGTTGCCAATAGTTACCAATAGTTACCAATAGTTACCAATAGTTACCAATAGTTACCAAAAGTTACCAATAGTTACCAATAGTTGCCAATAGTTACCAATAGTTACCAATAGTTACCAATAGTTACCAGTAGCTACCAATAGTTACCAATAGTTACCAATAGTTACCAATAGTTACCCAAAGTTACCAATAGTTGCCAATAGTTGCCAATAGTTACCAATAGTTACCAATAGTTACCAATAGTTACCAATAGTTACCAATAGTTACCAATAGTTACCAATAGTTACCAATAGTTGCCAATAGTTACCAATATAGATAGTTACCAATATAGTTACCAATAGTTACCAATAGTTACCAATAGTTACCAATAGTTACCAATAGTTACCAATAGTTACCAATAGTTACCAATAGTTACCAATAGTTACCAATAGTTGCCAATAGTTACCAATAGTTACCAATAGTTACGAATAGTTACCAATAGTTACCAATAGTTACCAATAGTTACCAATAGTTACCAATAGTTACCAATAGTTACCAATAGTTGCCAATAGTTACCAATAGTTACCAATAGTTACCAATAGTTGCCAATAGTTACCAATAGTTACCAATAGTTACCAATAGTTGCCAATAGTTGCCAATAGTTGCCAATAGTTACCAATAGTTACCAATAGTTACCAATAGTTACCAATAGTTACCAATAGTTACCAATAGTTGCCAATAGTTACCAATAGTTGCCAATAGTTACCAATAGTTACCAATAGTTACCAATAGTTGCCAATAGTTACCAATAGTTACCAATAGTTGCCAATAGTTGCCAATAGTTACCAATAGTTGCCAATAGTTACCAATAGTTACCAATAGTTACCAATAGTTACCAATAGTTCCCAATAGTTCCCAATAGTTGCCAATAGTTACCAATAGTTACCAATAGTTACCAATAGTTAGCAATAGTTACCAATAGTTACCAATAGTTACCAATAGTTGCCAATAGTTACCAATAGTTGCCAATAGTTGCCAATAGTTACCAATAGTTACCAATAGTTACCAATAGTTGCCAATAGTGGCCAATAGTTACCAATAGTTACCAATAGTTGCCAATAGTCACCAATAGTT